GTCCCTGTCGCTCCTCTGAGAGCGGGGCGGCCCCGGGCTGGGTCCCGGCAGGTCGGGGGGGTTCGGGCAGCGGTGCCTGGGCACAGGGCTGCTCCGCGGGCAGTTCCGCTCTCCAGCACTGTTTTACGGGCGGCCTGGGGCTTCCGGGACAGGAAAAAACACACTGCGGGGGAAAACCAGCGAGTATTCTTAATCTTGCCATTGTTTTCCCAGTGTGGAGAATACGGTCAAAGAGCCGATAACACTGAGCGGGACGAGATGGAATCATGATCCTCCCTCTCTCCATGCACGCGTGTCAGCACGCTGCTCTTCTACTAGATATCATTTCTTGAGTCCCCTGTTGCTCAGGCAGGAAACACGAAGCACCTCTGGATACATGCTGCGTGTCAGGAGGGCTGGTCTCACCTCCTTCTGTTCCTCTCCCACCCTAGCTTTTGCACTCCCTGCCTGCAAGAGTGTCTGAAGCCGAAGAAGCCGGTGTGTGGTGTCTGCCGCAGCACCCTGTCGCCTGGTAGCAGAGCTCTGGACTTGGAAAAGCAAATTGAAACGACAGAAGCCACTTGCAATGGCTGCAATAAAAAAGTATGAATGCATTTGGAAATTAAGTGCGTGACGTGTGCCTGCTTGGCTGTACTGCTTAGGAGGAGATGAAGTGCTTGCTCCTCAGCTTTCTGCAGAATCAGGTCAAAATGTTTGCTCTGACAAGTGCTAAAGATATGTTATATAGGCAGCACCCAAATGTTGACATTCCTTGCACAGTTGTTTTTTTTTTTTTTTTTTATAGTTACCTCTTTAGAAAGTGAATTTCAAATTTAAGAGAGTTATTTCAAAGTTACAGGAATTACTGCTTCTGAAGTTGCTTCCGTGACCGTGTCTCTGTGGGAGGAGCCCACTGGATGTGGGTTTTAGATAGTGATCTCTTTGGTGCTTAAACAGAAATGTATTTGATTTGTTTGAAATGGTTATGAGTCAAAGTTGTCTTATGGGTGGTGTATTCTATAGATTTATTGTCTGCATTGAATACCTATATGGCATCCTTCTGTCATGTCCTTTCTCTTTGTTATGTTTGGCTTCTTGGCGTTAATTGAGTGTAAAATCAAATATCTTAGCAGGTGGCAAAAGAGCAAGAAAAGGATAATTAGACAGAGTAAGGTGAGGGTAACAGTTCATGTAATTTCACTTTTTATTTCATGAGAAGTGTCATTCTGTCTTCATTCCAGCTGATAGAAAACTACAGAGCCTTAAATTACAGATTTCCTTATTGTAAATTTGAATTTTCATTAATGGAGTTGAACAATTAGCAATCAGTCTACACCAAGATCTGTACTAAAAGCCAAATTATTTTCCATACACTGTCTCTTCTCCTCAGTGGTCAGGTAAACTGGCTTTATATGAAGCTTTTCTTATGCATTCTAAGTATGGGTTAAGCAAAGTCCTGAGCAGTGTTGTATTTGTAAAATATTACAGGGAGCAAAGTTACAGGTTAACTAATCTATAATCTCAAAGCTTTCCACCCCACCAGCTGAAGTGAATTTTCCTGCTTTAATGCTGTCTGCAGAAAGCTGCTTTGTTCTGTTTACTACCTCTGCTTGAAATTGTAGACATAACTGGAAATAGTTTAAATTAACCTTTCTATGCAACTGTTGCCTGCACAGATGTATCTCTCAAAGATGCGTAGCCACGCGGCCTCCTGTCCAAAGTACCAGAACTATATAATGGAAGGTGTGAAAGCCGTAACTAAAGAACCACTTCACAACACCAGGTACCTAACTCTTCTCTGAAGATACTTGCCTTTTTTTTTTGTCACAAAAAAATTCTGCAGTAAAAACAGACTTTACTTCTTTGCTTCGTTTGGGTGTTAATTGTTGTAATCCTTTCACACAGTTAAAAACTAAGCCTTAATCTTGCAACTGGCTGTGCAGAGGCGAGCTGCTCTTTCTCCTTAGTCCGTGCACAAGGCGTCTTTCAGATCAGGGGACTCAGTCGAAGGAGCTATTTTTAGAATAAAACCTGTATCTTTCTGTCGTGTGGCGGTAGCATTCTGGTTTCAGCTGGGGCAAAGTTAATTTTCTTTCTAGTAGCTGACACAGTGCTGTGTTTTGGGTTCGGTATGAGAGTGGTGTTGATAACACGAGATGTTTTAGTTGTTGCTGAGTAGCACTATCCAAAGTCAAGGATTTTTCAGTTTGCCATGCTCTGCCAGCGCAGAGGTGCACGAGAAGCTGGGAGGGAGTGTGGCCAGTGCACTCCTCCTCATTGTAGCATACTGGGTGGTACCCTGTGCATTTAAAAAAAAAAAAAAAGCTAAGGAAAAAAAAAAGGCATTTATAACATCTGTGAAGAAATATCATTCTGTGTAAATATGGATACTGTTAAAAGTTCCTTAAGCTACTGTTAGAAGTCTACAAACGGATTGTTATAATTAGCTTGTCTTAATTCCACAGGATAAGACTACTGCTTTGAATAATTTGTATTTTTTAAGAGCTGGTAAGACAACCTTGGACTATTGAGTCCTAAAGCTCTTACTTTTAACTTCCTGACAGTGATAAATCACTTATTTTCCTTCTCCCAACCAGGAACTTCCCAAATCGCTTCACCTTTCCTTGTCCGTATTGCAGCGAGAAAAACTTTGATCAAGAGGGACTAGTTGAACACTGCAAGACATTGCACAGCATGGATGCAAAACAAGTGGTAATAAAAAGTCTTGGTGCAAGAATTGCAATGAAGTCTAGTCTTAAATCCCTTTGAAACAATGAATTAGAGACTGATGAAGTTAAGTACATATTTATAATTATTCCTCTTAAAGTCAAATGTGGGTATGTTATTCACGTATTTACCTTTTACATCATTTTGGTGTTGGTTTTTGATACCTTCTTGGAGGTGACTTGTCTCTATTCCTGTTGCAGCTAGGTCATATCCTCCTTTCATATTTGAAAAATAGTAGACATTCAAAGTTAATTAGGCACGGTAGCAAATACCAAATTAATAAAACATAATTTCAGAAAAATGTCGGACACTTAATTTTCCCTTTTGCAGTCGTCAGCAAAAACGTACTATAAACCACTGGGGAAAATGCTTGCAAAAACTGTATATCATTGCAGTAATCTTTATCTGCTGATACTCCCTCTCATATAACAGGAATTGAAAAATATGGAACCAAATTTGAAACTTTTCATTTTTGTGGAAAGTTTTTTTTTGGGAATTCCAAATGATTTAGAAAAAAAAAAGTTCCTTTTTTTCTCTTGGAGAGGAGTGATCTTTGCAAGGGCATCAAGGAAACTTCCTGAGAAATAAAGGCTGAAATCTTCTGAAGCAAACGGCCGTGGTGAATTCTGATATTCAAAGTGCAGAAAGAAGAGGAAGCTGTTCCATATCAGAGATCTAAGACATGAATTAAAATCATTCAGGGTTAACTGAGGCTTGTGTATTTAAATGTCCCAGCAATCTGCTTGACTCTCACAAACCTCCACCTTCAATCTCCCATGCTCTCTGTCCTACCTTTCCTACTGTAAACGTTAAAGCACTTAGCCATTGAGGCTTAATTGGCTTTTTCTGTTTTTTCTTGAAGGTTTGCCCAATTTGTGCCTCGATGCCATGGGGAGATCCCAATTACAGGAGTGCTAACTTCATGGAGCACCTTCAGAGACGACATCGCTTTTCCTATGATACTTTTGTGGTATGTGTTCTCTCTCCTTGCAGTGCAGCTTTTTTACATAGCCACTGCTGTGCAGAGGGTGCCATGAGAGAAATCAGATTATTGGCAAGGCCAGGTCAAAGACAGCTGGTCTCTGTTCTGGTTTGGTGATGTTGACCAGCATGGCTGTTGCAGTCAGTGTCTCTGTTGCCCTTTGTTCGCAGGACTACGACGCTGATGAGGATGATATGATGGCACAGGTTTTGATGCGTTCTTTGCGGGACAAGTGAACCAATGAGATTTACTGCAAAACCAAGCTTCCAGGAGGGGGAAATGCCCAGCACCCTTGCACTTCTCCCTGTACATCCCAAGGTGAACTCAGGCGTCCAGAAATACGGAAGACTTTAATCCCTATCTCAGTTTCACATCCTGGTTTGATATTTCTGTACCCTCAGTCTTTTGTTAGTATGGTCTGTGCCACTCAACCCTGTCAGCCTGATTTTCTGACTTGCTTCACACAAAGCCTAACTGTAGGTGGACATGGAGGAAACAAATTTCTTTACCTATGCCTTTTTTTTGCTTTTTCAGTTGTGTTCACTTGACCATCTAAAACCAAAAACATTCCAAATGAAATGGCCTGAACTAATTAATAATTAATATCTCTTCTCAATCTCATTTATATATCTTAAACGATAGTATGAGAGGTGTACTTGTAGCTCTTTTTTCCTTCAGTGAGACCTCTAGGTGCTAACTGTAATTGTCAGACCAGCTCTCAGTTAAAGTGACCTATGATGCCTGTGTTTTCATAATGTTTCCCAGTGTTTAAATTCTTACATGCAGCCTCTCAACTATATGGAAAACATGTCTTCAAGTATGAGTCTTCAAACTACAAACTTTCTCAGCAAATCTTTGCACCTGTGTAAGCAACTAGTTTGAAGTATTTATTTCTATGCATGATTGTTACTTTCTTCCATACTTTGAACATAATTTCTAGCCTGGAAAATAAACTGTAATTATGGTCTTATTTAAAATGCATTTTTTTAAAACAATCTTAGCAAATACTAACCATATTTGCTGGCTTTGTGATTAATTGGTGGTTTTGAAACTGTTTTTCTAGTGATTTTAAGCCTTATGCTGGTAGGGAAATTCAGAAGTTTTTTCTCAATACCTCTGCTTTCTATTTCAACTAAGATTTTTGTATATATTCCTAGTTTTTCCATCTCTCAAGGCAAGCTGGTAGCAAAACTTACCAATAATTCGTAGCATTTGCATACACTGCCTTCTGCATTACAGATCTTAGCAGGTATTTTGAATTCCTGTTCTGCATTTAGGTGTTGCTAAAGTAGCTGAAGCTGTACTTAGATTGTTTTCCATATAATATTATATGTATAGTATGCCAGTATGGCTTTCAAAGAAAAGGTAAAACAACCTGGACAGCGGGATGACAATTCCAGTACGTAGTAAATGGATACTCTGTGTTCAAGTCTACACTTTTACTGTAGAGATTCCTTTGTAGTTTGTTTTCATTAACTGCACACTCAAGATGCTGAAACCTAATGATCTAAGACACCCGACCAAAACTTGTAAATCACAGTAGTGTTGAGATGTGTAGCCTAATTTAAGCATGTTTAATTGGAGCAGTGAACCTGCACCACCACAGAACTGAGTACTAGTTAATTTATTGACCAGTGATCTTGGTATCATTGCATTCTGCAGACTGCAGCATAGCCTTACCCTTAAAACAACGAAACACACCCCAGCTAAAACCTCTCGAGTCAACTTTGCATCCAGCCAGACCTCTGACATATTTGAGTTGAACCTGGTTTTAGATGTTTTCCCCAACTTGGTATGGGCTGAGGCAGAGTCAGCCTTAAGTACCTGCTTGGTGACTGGAAGCTCAGTTGGGGCTAGGGAAGAAATCCCACAGTACTATGGAAAAAGTGCTGTGTTTGGGGTTGATGACTTTTAATGCTTGATCTGAAAGAGATAGCAACGTATTAGTGGTGGGATGGGGATTTCTGGGTTCTGGCTAGAACGCAGTTTTGATACCCACTGATGGGAATCTAGATTTCTGCTACTATTCTAAGTGCACTTCCATGCAATTGATAAAATGTTTAAGGAGAAGTTAGAAGCTTCCAAGCAATTGCTTTGTCATGTATTTGACTTTTGAAGACCAGTTACAAATAAAGGTTGTTTAATTTATAAAATCCTACCTTTGTGTCAGCTCTTCCAGTTTCTTTTGTGTGGTCCATTTGTTTCATTTCTGCACCTCCCCAAAACAGCTTCTTGCTGGCTGTGAGAAACTGCAGGGATCACAATAGACACTGACAAAGGCAGAGGCTTCAGCTTTTGGCTTCCATTAAATACGTTTCACTGGTTGTGACTTTATAATCTTTCAAACAGTAGACTGTGCAGGTTATGAAAAATAGCTCAGATGGAGTTCAGATAAGTTCTAGAGCTGGCCAGAATACTGCAGGTGCAGCCCTGTAGGTGAATCCTCCTGTAAGCCAGAGAAACACAGTTTCCTGTTGAACTGAGGCAGCGTGACTGTCCAGCAGGGCTTTTCTGTTGAAATATTTACGTTTCCTGTAGCTTTAACTCTTGGCTGTCCAGTTTGTGATGTTCACATCCTTGTGTTGTCCTTGTAGGTGAAGGCTGAGGAGGTGAAGGCTGGCTTGCAGCAATGACAGTCAGAAACTGCTCTTGCTGAGGTTTTGGGGTTTTATTTCCTGCCGCTTTCTATGCAGACCCATTCCTTGACTGTACAACTTGGGGTTGACTTGCATCAATGTATTACATGGGAATTAATTCACAGAAAGCACAGACTAAAAACACTGGCTGGAAAATGCATGCTGATTCTGCTTTTACTTTGATTACATCAGTGTATGAGTAAGAAGCTAGCTTGGTAAGAGGAATTCTTAGCACTGCTTTGCTGTGATGAGCATCCACAGAACAGCTTGGAGGTAAACCTGGCCATTGGCTTCCACTTACTCCGGATGCTGAAGAGCTTTGTGTCTCAGTGCTGCTGACTTCATCAGCCTAACAGGTACAAATGTGTTTACACTGTGCAATATCTTACTGATATTTGTTGGTTCATTTAAAAAGACATTGTTGAGAGGCACGTCTGTTCATCTATAGCCTTGATTCATCTCATTTCCATGCAGAAACTTGGGATGAAAAAAAGCCTTATAGAACAAGCTAGTCTGGGCTTCTAAATCCAGTGGTGTGTTGCAGAAGAGTGAAACATTATGCCAGAGCTGCTTTCACCTCATCAGCAGCTGATCCTGTAGTCCCAGCAAATCCCAAGTGCCAATGTTGGTGATAACACAATCAAGCCGCCTAGGACCTGTGAAATTCCCCGTGTCTGGCACAAGTCAACCTCTGGAGAATGGTTAGCACAGAGGGAGAGGGACAGAATGAGTAGAGCTATTTTTTTTAAATCAATCTGTCTCCAGTCAAAGATGGGCCTTAATAGGGCTGGTAAACTGTTGACAGCATTAATTGCCTAACAAAGGCATCACTTCATCTGGAATTACAGCAACACATGCCCATGGTCTGCTTACACTAGGGGGATGAGGTCTTTTAAAGGATCCCTTCTACAGTAAAGCATTAATGGTATATTCTGGGTCTTCATGTCACCTGCTGGACAAAAGCACAGCAAATTTGCTTTGAGACCTTTGGCCTGCTATAGTGGATGGTTGCTGGTAAAACCAGCATAAGAAGGATTAATCTTTCATGCAATACTAAGGCCATGTTAAATCACAGAAAAGCAAATGAGGGATGTTTGCAGTCCTAAAGCCTTTCTTTGATTTAAATATACTAAAAATGACAATGGGGCATATGCCTGTTTTGGATGTGGGCTTTTGTTTGTTTTTTTCTAATGCAAAGTTTCATGTCACTGTAACATTGGTCCATGCTTCAAAAGCAATTCACTTTTCATGGGTAAACTACACAATTCTCCAGGGGATACAGACAAGGACTGTTTTAACCACTATGAAAACTTTCCTTTTCCTCCCCCAAAACTCCAGAAAATACTCAGCACTTATTGAAAATAAGTGTTGGCGCTACAGGCTTGGGTCTCTCTTCTTGCATTTGTTCTGTCTTTGCCTGGGATTCAGACACTGAGCTTTAAACAAACAATACAGCGGAGCTTCTGGGAGCTGTTTTAGTAGCCCCATGCCTCTGGGTTTCCTTGCACGGCCTGAACGGAGGGCGAATAAGCACAGCGTGGTGGCTGCAGCGCTGGAGCGGTGGCCGCACGACGTGTGCCGACAGCAGAGGGAGGTCGTGCGTTTTGGAGAGACCAGTGCTCACAACTCCCGGCCCTCTGCTCGTCCCCGTCCTCCTCCCCCCGGCTCAGGGGCCTGCGGTGAGTTTCAGGGAGCTTCTCTGGTCTTGCAGTGAAGGACACACCTCATGCCTTGCACCTCATGGCCAGAACTTCCCTTTGTCCCATCACACAGTCTTCCTTGGCGCCAGGATCTTTGCTCAGCAGCAGGGTATTTGAGATGACTCATGGAGCCACGGGGCCAAAGAAGAATTTGCAGCAGACTTGCTGCTCTGGAGGTAGTAACTGTGTGCCTCCAAGCTCCTTGGGCCAGTCCATGTGGGTCTGGAGGTGTGCCACGGGCTGGTGGCAGGGCTGCTCTGACCACCCTGGGGCTCAGCAGCTGCCAGACCCCAGCGCTCTGGTGCAGGGTGGGACGGCTGAGAAAGCACTGCCATTTCCAGCCCGTGAATCATTGCAGAGCTTCCCCTCCCCTCTGGTCTCCTGTGCTCTGTCCCATGGCTTGCTGGCTCACAGGCACAAGCAGGTCGGGTCACTCTCCCCCTTAATCTCAATTTTTCCTCCAGAACATGCAAGTTGTTTTCCACACACTGGTTGGAACAGATCTGGTTATTAACGTTTCAGAAAGAAGAGAGGAGCAGGGCTTTGCTTCTTGAAAGAAAACTGCCTAGCTGGGTTCCTCATAAGTGTGTCCCCAGCATAACCACATCCATGGCAGGTGGAGGAGCGTGGGGGGGCACCAGGGGAGGCACCTGTGGCAGCACCCAGGCTGCTGCCCCCTGCACTGCCAGCTGCTGCACCTCTGTGAGAAACAGGGTGGACCTGGCCTCTGTGATTTACACTCTTTAAAGCCTTCAGGATTTTTCCCCTGAACTTCAAGCAGATCCAGGGGTGAGTTATGCAGGTAGACACCTGTTGAAGTGCAGGAGCAGTTCTGCAGGAAAGGAGGGATGGATCCAGCTCCAGAGCGCGTGGCTGCAGGGGAAGAGTTTGCAGACTGGCTGGCAGGACGAGCTTTCCAAGCAGTTCCTGCCCTGAGGAAAGGCTGACAGTGGGCTCAGCCCCCTGCACTGCAGCTGTGCCACTGGAAAGCTTTGTGCCCCACTTCTGCATTTCGCGTGGGTTGTGGCTAAACAGTAATG